CCCCCCCCCCCCGCCTGCGAAAGTTGTTTTTGGCCGAGGTGGATCTCCAATGAGCGGGGGGTGGTAGGTAGTTCGTTGCTTGCCTCAGGTGTAAGCATTGGGTGAGAGAAGTCGAATGGCGGGGACGGACGAAGGGTAAACTACGGCAAGAATGTGGGCATCGGAGTACTGTTGTTGGCCGGCAACATGGTGCGTATCGATCTCAGCGCTCTTGTACAACCTAGAATGATACGTGGCTGCGACTCACGAGTTTTTCTCTTCCTTGTGCGTCGTTCCCTCTTCACGAAGACACTCTGGTACTACTCTCGAACCCCTTCTTCTTCTGGCAGTAGAAGTTTCCTACTGATGATTGAAAAAGCACCACCCTCCCCCCCAAAAAAGAAAAGCTTCCCTCAGTTTCGATCACCAAACCTATTTACTCTGCAAAAGGTATAACATCTCCTTCATTCCCGCACAGGTCGAGCACTGCATCGCTCGTGGGAAGCCTCCGTCAGCGGCAGGAGCCAAAAAAACGAGACCTCACGGAAAACCATGCCTCCTATCGAATTGCGGTAAGACGCACACCGTTGCTACTGCTCTGCCCCTGATTCTTCTATGTAGACACATGCCGAACGGTGGTTGAACTTTGATACACTATAGCTCTACTACCGAACGACGGGGCCCAAACCAAGTCTCACTGATTTCATACACTAGTGCCCCTGGTATTCGCCCTGCGTCGAGACCTATCACAACGTTCAAACATGGGGTATTTTTTTCTGTCCCGCCGGCCTTGAGGTGCGGCGATACGCAAAGGTCCAAATTTCCTGTTGAACTGGTGTGGTTGGCTGGAGGCCCGCCAAGTCGTTGTTCGTGATGTTTTTCAGCTGTTGCCATGCGAGCCACGTTACGCCGAGGCGTATCTCACACAGAACAACACCTTCTTCCCTATCGGCCATGATGGGCGTCGTCCGGAACAAAGGCTCGCAAGAACATTTACAACAGAAGCCATAAGTGGTGCACAACAATTACAGCCGGCAACTATGTACTACTCGCCGTGGCACCGTCAGCCTCGACCCAACAACGTTGATTGAAAAGGCGTAGAACAGCGCCACCACACTGCAGGCATCACCTCCCCTTCCCGCCAAACCGAGTATCACTGATTTTTTTACCGATCGATCCGGAATTGAACCCACCCGCCAGATGAGCGACTACAATATGCTGGCGTTCTCCAGCCAGAGATCGGGGCGGCACGAGATGGAAGGGCTGGCCTACTACTCCGCCGGGGTGACTATGGACAGCATGGGGCAGTACCCGAAGGCGATCGAGAACTACAAGAAGTTTCTCGCTGTCTGCAAGTGAGTCTTGTCGTGTAACCGACGCATCCAACCAGGCTGCCAACAACGACGGCGACGACGACAACTACAGCCACAAGAACAGAAGCCACTAGAATAGAGACCCCCACAAAAACAGCACAAACGAATGACACGTACGCCAGTCTACCCACGCCGGTTGCAGCTGTTGCTGTTGTTGTCGTCGTTTTTGTCTATGTTGTTACTCATCTTCGGGGGTTGCGCTTTCGTGCTGGTCGAGCCTTTGGCTGTAGTGTGTAGTCCACCCCCCAAGAACCCGGCAAGATGCAGTACCGGAAGGGAGAAGAAGAAGCGAAGTGCTCAATGAACAAGAAATTTGTTTTGGTAAAAAACCTCAAGCTGACTCTCCTCATGACGATCGTCTGCGCATGACGTGAGTGATGATGTATGCAAACATTGCATCTGTTACGCATGCTCTGGTGTGCACCAGGTTCGATCAAGGTAGCGCATTTTCGGGAGGCCTTCCGGCCCCCGAATGCTCACGCGACGAGAGGATTACCCGCTCTCAGCGAGAAACCAACAACGATCGCAATTCACGACCAACCTGCTCCCCCTATCCCCCCTCCCTTCCCGACAACGCCCCGATAGCGAATAAGAGTGCTTCACGAGAAAGAAACTGACTTCAACGCCAGCTAGTTCGCGACGCAGCATCGGGAAGACTATTTCTTTTGCCTGAACGTAGGGGAAGAGATATTCCTTGAACGGGGTGATGTACAGGCATTCCACGGAGGTGGCTCTCAAAGGCAGCCCCCCGCCCTCCCCCGTGCGTGTCATCTCTCCCCCGTCTCGCCGCCACTAAAGGACGCTGAAAGACCTGTTCATCGAAGGCGTGTGCCACAACTGCATGGGGGTGGACTACATGCTCATGGCGTGCCCACCGGCGTCGAACATGCAGGTGAAATGAGAGTGCTCATGGTGGTGTGTGTCCAGGGTGTCTTGCTCTTGTTGTGCTGGCTGATGGTGTCTCTGTTGTTGCTCTTGTCGGTTGTGGTGGTATAGTGCTGTTGCTGGCAGTGGCAGTGGCAGTGGCGGCTGACAGCCGGCGTTGGACGTGACTAAGGAAAAGGTACACGCGCTGTCAAGCCCACCCCCCTGGAAACGGCGGTCAGAAACCCAACGAACGGTCCTTCTTTCTCGGGCCGGGCTATCCAGCCTAGACCAATCGACGTAGATAGCAATTAACCGTGTCGCGACGTCCCTTGGACCGGACGATATCATCCTCTCGTTCGTTGTGTTTGTGTACTCGATGTGTGTGTGGTGTCTGCGTGCCACAGGAAAATACAACAGGGCTGCCGGCGAGAGCGGTCGCCTTGTTGCGAAAGGCGTTGGAGCACCACGAGGAGCACCTAAAGGTGACAAATAGATAGCATCAGGAGACACCGTAAAACAGACGAGCGATTGGAGGCGACTCTGCCCTACAGGAGTACTAGCAGAAACGGCGGTCGTGCGTTTCAAACGGTTGCTCGCGTAAGAAGTCAACGGCGAACCGGCCCAGGCAAAAGTAGACAACGAAACGAATTTCCCTCAGAAGCCTTCGCCCCTTCCTCTCCGTCCCATGTTCACCCTATTCGATCCCATTATCCCATCACATTCCGTGAGTCTGCTCAAAACTTTTGGTACGTCCAGGTGGACTACCTGTGCGCTGCAGACGTACACGGGAGGGTTATCAACCCCATCATCCCGTCGCATTCTATGATCCCGACTAAAACGTATGGTACGTTCGGGTTGACTTGCTGTACGCTGCTAACGATTACAAGGGAGCGGACGACGCCGGGTCTGGCGTAGCCCACTCCAACATCGGGCTGTGCCACGGCCTGATGGGAGACTACCCTAAGGCGGCCAAACACCACCAAGAGGCCCTGAGGGTGGCACTTCGTGTTCAGGTGTTCATTTCGTTCGGGAGATTGTTCTTCTTCTGTTTTTTCCTTCGCGAGACGCTATTTTTCTATTTTTCTTGCAGTCAGCGTGTCTCTCTGTAGCTTGCTGGCGGTGCTCACGTGGTGTGCGTGTTAAATTGTCTCTCCGGGTACGTACGTCATTCATAGATTGTAGCGGTAAAATTTTGGCACTCACTTTTCCACTTACCTTTGCTGTTTGGAGACCAGCTGGACTCGCCCTTTCGCCCCAACGCCTGTTGCACACCACGAGAGAGAAAGAGCGAGCGAGAGAGAGAGAGGAAGAGGGAAGGAGATAGACCTCCCCCCTCCCTAACGACCCCCGATCCCACTTCGACTCTTTTCCCGCTTGACAAAGAGTGCGAGCGCGCAGAGCGTGGCCGCCGGCAACCTCGGCACCCTGGCCGCGCGGCAGGGGGACATGCAGACAGCGCAGGCTTGCCTGGAGCAGCACCTCCAGCTGGTGCAGCAGCTCGGGGACTGGCAGGGGGAGATAAACGCCTGGTGGAAGATGGCGCAGGTGGCAGCAGCAGCGGCAAAGGGAGGACAAAATGGAGGAGGGGGAGGAGGGGGGGGAGGAGGACAAGAGACTGAGTCAGTTAGGGAGGGGAGCGGTGGGGGCGGTGCTAGCGGCGGGTCTCTCCCGCGTGTTGAGGTCGGTCCTGAACACGGTGCCGACAGGCTCGGGGGTGGGGGGAGGATGGCAGGGGCCGGAGCGGGGGCCCCGGGGGGGCAAGAGGAAGCTGTTGTGAGGGCGCTGTGGTGCTTCGAGAGGGCAGCGGCCTTGGCGAAGACTCACGATAAGGCAAAACGCGTTAAAGACAGCTTGAGGGCCTGCACGTGTTGAAAATTATGTTGGGTTTCCCGCGCAGAACTTTGTGCATGATGCGCGTAAGGGCACATGTGCCCTATACTTCGTTTCGCTCGTCGGCATCTGAGCTTGTGGGTGATGAAGAATGTGATCGATTGTCTACAGCAGTTCACCCAAGACCGCGCCCAGGTTGCCTATCCAGGAATGCGTTCATGTGATGTGGTGGGTGGATTAAAAGTTGGGGTAAGTACTATGGTCTACGTGTGTCAACGGTCTTCAGCTCGTTTCCTTGTTTAGCTCGGGTCTACGGAGGCCGCGTCACGCAAGACTGTTGTCACGCTAAGGCTGTCGATTGAACCACTATGTATGGCGTTGCCAACGCCCCCCCCACCCCCCCTCCTTCCCCCTCTTTTCATGCACCCTTGCTTCTTGGCTTTATAATATCTTCTTCATGTCTTGTGCTCACCGCTTGACGTTCTCTTTACCCCCAGGTGAGCACCTTGAAACGGCTGCACTGCGACATGGGCGTCGTTCGAGGGAACGCTTCCATGGACGACTACTTCCGCTCGCTGAGGAAGACCGCTGTTTGAGAAAGGCTCGCTCTTATTCTAGTTAACGTGAAGAAGGGCTGTTCTCCGCAAGGGGGAAGTAAGAAGCACAAATCCCTGTGTCTACAGATCGCGTCACCCATCATCGGAAAAAAAACTGATCGATCTTGAATGACGACCTTGAGGAGATCGATTTTCCACTAGGATCATCGTGAGGAAAGGTTGATTGGTGGTTATTATGTAGTCCTCACAAGAACAGGGCTTCACGATCCTGGAAGTCCTCACAAACGTAGGAGCGTTGCGGAGTCTTACAGCGAATTCAGAGGGAGGGTGGGCAGGTATAAATATTGCGCTCACGGGTGTGTGTGTCGGTGCGGAGGGGGGCAACTGGATACGAGGGAGGACGTTTATTGGACTCAGCCACACGATGTAGTGAGACACGTAATGATGTACGGGGGCAAAAAACGCCATGAGATATATGCATTCGACAACACATCCACATCGCTTTCAACAAGGATTGGGATCCTCGCGCAGCCCGGAGTGTAAGGAGGAGCGTCTATCAAACAAGTTTGACATTGTTGATCTCTCATATATAGATAAGAAACGGTCTAGAGGCCGAAAATCGTACTTCGTACGGAACGAGTTTGATAACGTATCGTTTCTTTCAAACTGTGTCGGAAAGTTATAAAAGGGGACACGCCATCTCATGACAGCTTTGTTGAATCTCTTTCTGCTATGCATATGTACAACATGTAAAACGTGAGGTGGACAAACGTGCAGAGCATGTCTGGGGCGGGCGTTCAAGTATGTTTATACCACCAAGGGATTGAGAAGCCGAAATCGAACAATTACCTACCGTATTCATCCAGAATAGTCGGCGCTGATAGTCAACTGGTCGGCGCTGACATATCTAATTGTCGGTGCGATTCGAGCCCAAGCTTCTCTTTTCGGCTTTAGGATTATTATCCTTCAGTCCCCCTCCCCACACACCATTGCCCTTGTACTCAGTAGCAGCAGTCTTCTTCTGAGCTAGGTGTCATCATCCATACGTGACAACACTAGAAGGTGACAAATTCTCCCTACGTCATCGAAGAGCTCATTTTCTTCTCTCATTATTTCATCGACCAGCAAAAAACAACACGAAAAAACGATTTCGTTATTATTGTAAAAATTGATGTAGTTTATTTTCGTCTATCTACTACTCGTTGTGAGTGATACCCGTTCTTCTCTTCCTCTCAGCGATCTTCGTATTAACCCCAAGTTGATACAGAGAGGGAGAAAGAGGCAGCGATCCAGCTCTCACCAAAAACGGTGTTTGACGGTCGCAGGCAAAGTAAGGTCAGATCACGAAGTTCGAAAAAAAAAAAAGTTCAATTGGGGCGTAGTAGCAGTGATACTTCCACGCAACGCTGATGTTCTAGTGGGCATGATTTCTACCGTTGTCGCCGACCTCACGCTCTCTCTCTATCTCACCCTCCTCCTTGCATTGGACCCTGCTGTATGCTCAGAGTCGACGACACTACGTACGCTGTCGCTTTCGCTCGCGCCCTCTCAATCCTCCCTCAGCATTCGATTCCTCGGGCATTACAAGCCGACGACATCATCATAACTTACTCTCATCTCCCTCCCTCTCCCTCCCCCTTGCTCTGCATTGTTATTCGATCTTCGTGCATGCAAACACGACAGGCGACCACCTATGTTGCGGCGAAACACGGCACAAAAAGCAATTGCAAGTAGCAGCTCGAATGCAGTGCGACGAGTGATAAAGTGAGTATTGTGGTCTGCACGCCGGCAGCAGCCTGCTGCTTGTACCCTAATGCACAGCTAGGCGCGTTTCCTTTCTCGACCGCACGGTTGATATGACAAAAATAACAAAGATTTGGAAGCAACTGACTGCTGTCGGCACGCCGTGCGTGGCTGATGATCGATCATCATCGTGTAGCGCCTCCAAATCACCTTCTTCGTGCATGTCGTAACTACCGAGCGCAACAATTATTTCGGACGCGAATTCCAGTAGCAAGGCTAATCTAGAACCCGTTGTCGCGAAATGGACGGATCACGTCTACCGCCTGGCCTTTCCGTCAACTGGCCTCAACATGCATCATGCCCACGAGGGGAAACTCGGCCAAACGGCGGGAAGAGCCATCAATCGTATCTGAACCGTTGGTGAGTTGCAGCAATAATGATGATCATCGTCTACTCTTCCTTCAACCGCTACTTGCTTTGCTGGTGCTTGTGCTGCCGCTGTCGTGCATCAAAATCACCAATCCGAGCCCCCGGCCCCTATGTACGGTACCCCGATGGTCCATCACGTGGCTCCGCTCCCCGTCTATGTGCCACAAGCCGGTGGGCCCGTTGCACTTATGCGCACTCTTTCACCATAACATAAAAAACAAACCGTTAACAACAAGAAGAGAGCAGGCCAAGACAAGGACGAAGCAGCGCAACACGCACGATTAAACAAAACAAACGAAACATCTCAAAAAGCGCACCGTGCGACGTGTACATTGACTTGATCGATCTAAACACAAGCCACTGACCAACCAGGTCGTAGAATAGCGCAGGATAACACCCCCTATCGTTTCATCAATAGTATCGGAGCAAACATCTTGTGCGTTTGCTGGGCCGTGGCAGGCAGCAAAAATCGTAGCGCGGTCGAGAATACATTGGGTACATGTTTGTCGACACCCTTCTACAAAACAACAACAGCGCATACATACATGCTGCGAGGGGAACGTCACACCGTAGGAAGTTCCAGCAATACACAGCGGGAAAGAAAGCAACGTATGCACACACACAAACCCTCTCTCCAGCGACAGGCGCACTCAAGGCACAAAGGGAAGGTTCGGAGCGAGGCCTTGAAGAACACACAAAACACAAAGTCAACAGAAAGCACGCCTTGAGACAACACCCAGCCATGATGAACGAACGCCCCCTTCTTCCCTACCAAAACCGAGTCCGCTCGGAAGGCCGAGGGGCGAGTAGGTAGATAACAAACAAAAAACAAAACGAAAAGCGTCCTGTTGCCTACATGACCCCAGCGGATACGCCATACTCAAACTTATGTAGTCTACCGAGAGATGTACTGCTGTAGCCTGACGCCAGGATAGACGGGGACGATCAACACCGCAAAACAGAGAACGTGTATTACCTGCTGCTCGAGAGCCAACGTGATAGAGCAATCCCGCCAATATCCATGGCTTCGTCAGCATGTCTCACCAGGTTGGTGCGCAAACTGTGCATCGTCGTCACACGTCGGAGATAACCACAACCGTCACCACCGCCGCCGCCGGCAGCTCACATGTACACCATCTACTGCCTCAGCTTCGAGGGAATCCGTACATCGACATCATTTCCAACGCGTGATGAACCAAAAGCAGTGAATCAGGAAAAAAATAAAGAGAAAAAACAAGGACAAACACACGAGACATGTTGCCCTTCATCGGCCAGCCGGGTACGGCGGTCGATGCTGACCAAAGAACACACACATCCCACGCACCTCCAACGTACCATATTGCAAAGAGAAAACCTTAACCTTCCACCTCCACACCGCCCGTCCGTCGCTTCCGCACCTTGCCAAGCACGAACGTGCCAAGAAGAAACACAGACGACACGCGCACACAGCAGCAACTGTCGCCAACGAAAGGCGCTCGAGCTCATTCGTCGGTAACGCACGGTACAGCAGTGTGCATCATGATGTCTCTGTTGGATACTAAACGAGGTCTTGGGGCGCGCGCTCTCGAACCCGTGTTGGTGGATATATTCCTCCCAACCCCCCTCCCTGATCTCTCTCACCCCACCCTCGTGCTCTGCGTGAGACGCCTGCCTGCCGATCTGCAGGCCATCCCCCGAGATAAAAAAAAAACGGAGCCTGTCTTCAGGATCGGAAAAAGCACATCACAACGTCCTTCTCAGCAGAGGGGCAAACAAAAAAAAAAAAACGCCGCAAGAGGAAGCTCGCGTTTTGCAAACACAACACACACAAAGAAAAGCAACACAAGACAAGCGCGCAAACGCAGAGTCACGCACTATACAGGATGGAAATGAGCCCTACGGGTGGAAACAGCACATGGGCGAAATAAAGACGAAGGAGGAGGCACGCAGTTTCGTGATTGGTCAAACTACCTTTCCGCGCAAGTCATCTCATCACCACTGCAGGGAGGGGGNCCCCCCCCCCCCCCCTTCTTTCTTGGGCTGGATAGTCTGCAAGGAGACGGTCCTACGGTCCAACGGCACTTCACGATCATCACCATCACCATCACCATCACCATCACCATCACCATCACCATCACCATCACCGCGGAGGACTCGAAAAAAAATCAAGAACAGAAGGAAGGGGCGAAACGCGATACCACAGAGCGCGACCGTCAACAACCACCACCAAAAGCGGAGCACGGGTGTGATTGGTCAGTCAGCGGTTGTCTGTCGCCTCGGGGCTTTGAGCAACCTCATCATACGCCTGCTCTCCCTCTCGTTCTAATCCTCACCTCTCTTTCACTAACCGCTCGCCCACCAGCCAACCCGGATGCTGCTGCTGCTGCTGCTGCTGCTGCTGCTAGCATAACCGCTACACGCGGGCACGCCGCAACAACGGCGCAACAGCACAACACCAGAGGAGGTCGGGCGAGACACAACAAACCGAGATATACTATTATTCAGGAATACAAAACATGACCTAGCGGAAGGAAGAAACAGAACTTTCCTAAAAGACCCTCTCGTCTCCCGCCCAACCCCCCCCCNCCCCCCCCCCCATATTCTCCAACCACCCCCAACTTGTCTCCCCCCGTCCCTCATGCCTCCCACGGTTGTCTCCAATCCACAACATGGGTAGTAAAGACCACCGTCCTGTGCCCATCTTCAACGAGATGGCTCTCCCCGTAATCTACTTTGAAGTTCCCTCCCATTCCTCCCCCCGGTCTCGTAAAAGAAGCTAATTGCCAGACTAATCCCCGCTGGTATAGGACCGAGCGTTTGGGGAAGGAAGGAAACGATTTGGCCGCGCCGTATATGGGACCGCACAAACGGCGCGGCCAGACCCAACGGCACACCTTCTTAAATCTACCCCTGCGGCGATACGGCTATTTGGCCCCAGGATGTTTTCAAGCTCATTACTATCTTCCGGTCACATAACTCAAAAGGACAAGTAAAACGCACAGAGAGAGAAAGGGAGGGAGTTGAACAGAATGACCGCCGGGTTCTCCTCCATCTACTAGTTCCCAATCTCCCTCCCCCTGCCCGCTAGTGGGCACATATCACAGATGACAAAAAACGACGATACCCAGCAGAAGACAACGAAACAAAAAGAAGAGAAAAAAACAAAAAATGCAACTCGCTTATTTCACCTGCCCACCTTATCCACTCCGCGGCGGCGGGCCCCTGCCAACCCTGCGCGGGTCCACACAAGCAGACGGCTGTCTCTCCGAGGAAACCCCTTCAGTACCTTAACGGCCCAACACCATCATCGTCACCGCGCCGCCGCATGTCTTGTACCAGGCCGGAGGCATCTTCAGTCAACACCAATCGTGCATATCCACCACCACCTCAAACGCCCGCTACCAGCCTGACGTCTTATCATTGGTTAGCCGGCTAGCGCGGTCGATGCCAAGTAAAGACATACAGAGCAACACACATACAAACACACACGCCATCGACGCCCCCCCACCCCTCAAATCATGGCGGGGAGGGGGCCGAGCGCTGGCCGGCGACGTGCATCGCGGTGCGAGGGTTAACGGACAGGAAGTACGGCAGCTGCAGCGCTTCCGCGCACGTGATGCGGGAGTTCGGCTTGTACACGAGCATCTGCCTCAGCAGCTCCGCGCCCTCGGCTTCCATCCTGGGGACTCTTCTCCTGATGTCCTTCGCCACGAACCTGGTCATCGCGCCGCGCCAACGTGAAGGAGAGATCGATTTGGGCAGGGGGCCAGGAGTGAGAAAATAATGGAGCAGGATCCTTGCAGTTCGGTTGGCTCCTTAGACGCGTGCCCCCGTCACACACCGCGGATACTGACGAACGAGCTTCACGTCGTGAACGACAAACAGCAGAGGATAACGACGGAAGGAAGGAAGGAAGGAAGGAAGGAAGGAAGGAAGGAAGGAAGGAAGGAAGGAAGGAACGGGATACTGGGACAGCACTCACGCACGCACACACACACAGCCACGTTCACTTCGTGCTCCCTACACCTCGCCAGCGTGGGCAATCGAAGCTGCAAAACGACGCAAAAAAAACATGCACGAGGAACAAAAAAGTGGTCACCTCGGGAACGCGGTCGAGTAGTTTTTCAGTGACGTCACTCCCTGCCACACTCTTTCCCCCGGCGTGCCCAGCGACTGGAAAATCTTGAAGAGCTGGTCGATTTCGGAGCTACCCCGGAACAGGACGTCCAAGTTGCTGAGGACAACGTGCGGAGGACAGCGAACATAAATAAACCACAGCAGCAACGGCGTTTACGAGCGACGACACAAGTTGCTGAGGCCACGTGGGGAGGAAAACGAGCGAAAATGACCACCTCAGCTGCGACGCTCAAGAGCTCGTGAACAGGTCGTTCACGGGGACGAGTGGGGGGGAACTGAACACAAGGGGGCAACACAGGAAATGAAAGAGAACGGTCCCACCCTGCGGCTCCGAGGACTTCAAAAAGGGAACACCTTGCTGCTACAACACTGAGCGTGTGCATGAACATGCATCCATGTTGAGGGGACTTTGCCACTCTTCAGCACCATTCGATTTTGTCAACAAAGCCGCAGCCCGAACTTAGCTGTTGTCCAGACATACATCCGCGAATCGAAAAAAAAAAAAAAAACAACTCCTCGGTGTTGGGTGTGTTGCCGTCTCATGCAGCGTGTGCGGTGGCGGAAAACAGCCATGCTTCGGCCCAGCCGCTTGTCCACACCTGAGTTCTGCGAGGATGCAACCCACGGACCAGATGTCCGCGGAGGTGCCGTAGTAGTCGCTGCCCAGAAGAATTTCCGGAGGCCGGTACCAGAGCGTAACCACCTCGTGGGTGTACTTCCGGGTGGAGACGGTGAACACCTTCACACGGGGGAGCGTTTTGGGGGAGGTGGGTAGGGAAAGGGATAGAGAAACAGGGGGAGGGAGGTCGTAAGAGACCACAGGCGAGACGAGACGGCGCCGTCGCAAGCAAGCGCAGGAGACGCCAGCAGCGGCTCGCTACTAGAGAGAGTCTCTCCTCTCTCACCCGCGCTAAGCCGAAGTCCGCCAGCTTGAGGTTGCCCTCCGCGTCAATGAGGATGTTCTGCGGCTTCAGGTCCCTGTGGAGGATGCGGTTGCTGTGGCAAAACCTCACGGCGTGTAGCAGTTGGTAGAGATACGACTGTGCGTGTTGACAGCAACGGAAGGCGGAGGGGGGGGGGGACGCAGCGAGGAATGCGGAGGAAGGGGGGGAGGGCAATACTTGAGAATTCTACGTACTTGTGGGTACTTCGTGACCATGGATCCGATAGTATGATAGTCGGTAGACCGAAGACGACGTCATCCGGAAATCGCCGACCAGCCGCAAAGCAGCAAAGGGCGAGAAGTGCTCGCAAGGTGGTACGGCGAGGTAAAGCCAGAAGGCACTGCTTGCTGTGTTTTGCCCGAAGGAGAAGTTACAGCGGCAGAGAGCGACTACGTGCATGGGTTGGTCATGAGGTTCTCTCACGAGAGACAGACCAGATAAAAGTAGGAGCAAGCAAAGTGTCTAGACAGCTCACACCCGGCTTCGAGTCGTTGAGCACCCAACCAACCGATGTACACATATTCCACCACTCATCCTCAAGATGCTGTCTGCCCGTGGTTGCAGTGTCCACACCTGCTCTCATCGCACCTTTGCGCTATACACCAACTTCGGCAGCGTTGGGCGGGCAAGGTACTACCCGCAGCACCCTGTGACAGCCAGCGCAGACCCCGTTACTGTTGTCGATTTTCTTGTTCAACCATGGGGGTATTATTACCCCAAACAAGCGTGGGAGTTGCACGATGTACGAAGGTCTATTGTTGCCAGACAGGGCAATAACCATAACAACAACAGCAGTGGCAATAGTTGACACAACGCCAGATATGGCAAGGCAAGAGCGAGAATAACTACGCCATCGACGCTCAAACAACACGCGCACACCTTGATGATCTGGGGCGATAGCTGCTGCCCCGTTCTGGCGAGGCCGTCCAGGTATTTTTTCAGGTCCTGGAAAGGCACCGCCGACGCAGAGCCGTCAAAAGGAACCCCACGGCGAGAGAGAGAGAGAGAAAGGGGGGGGGGGTGATGAGCATCAAGAAGTGATGACTCGCACCCAGATAGATACGTCCGACACAGCACCAGCAGCCACGTAACGCCAACCATGCCGCACTCCACCCTCCTTATCGTCTTCACACCTTTTGTGCCACGACGTGTAACGGTCGCAAAATCCGAAAAGACACAGGAAACCCGCCTGTTCTCTTAAAATGTGTTCACACGTGCGTCGTTCGTGTCTGATCCGCTTGCCTTTCTTCCTATCTCGCTCTTTCGCTCTCTCGTTCAGCAACCCTGGAACAGACGGGGTAGGTCAACCAGGAGGGACTACACCTACGCCGGTCATCCATACCCACGTGGCTCCAACCATGAGCACGAGGCACACTCGGCTTCCACGCGATACAGCAGACAAACAAAAATCCTATGCATACCCAAGCACAGCGAACGTGCAATGCATAGGAACCGCAAGTATTTTTTTGTTGTTGTTGTGCAAGTGCAGTCGATTGTTGTTGAAACGGAAAAGGGAGAGAACGACGACACGCCGTACATACCTGGTCCATGTACTCGAAGACCATGTACAAGACGTCAGTGGTGGCGTATTGGATGTCGTACAGGGACACCACACAAGGATGGCGGCACAGCTCCCGAAGGAGCGAGATTTCTCTGCGACAGCCAAAAGCAGCAAACGCATCGGATGTGGATGTCGGCACGACCCCGCTCACACGCACATGGGGTGGACCAAAACACATACAGCTGGCATCTCGCGGCAGCATCACAAACCACAACAACGACAGCAGCAGCAGCAGCAGCAGCAGCAGCAGCAGCAGCAGCAACACGACAGCAACAACCCAAAGCACAACACCAATAAATCGGTGACACCAATCGCACGCACCAACCAAAAGCACAAACAACGCTGCTCACGCAGGAGGCCGCCCGCAACGGGTGAGGACGAGCGAGTTCACCGCTCGGTCGCTCCACCGCGCAAAACGGGCAAAACCAAATCCCGCCCCTATACTTTCTTTCTCGCTTCCTTGCATCGGTCGGTCGTGTACCACATGCCATCCGCTACTTGGGGTCCCGCGGGCATTGCTCGCTGGCTCGCTCACCGCATCGTGGTGGACGACACGCCCTCGTCCTGCTCCTGCAGCTTGACCTTCTTTAGCGCCACCACCTCCCCCGTTCGAATGATCCTCGCCTTGTACACTGTGCCGTAAGCCTTAAGGTAGGAACACAACAGATGGAGAAAGAAAAAAATCGCCACACAAGGGTTTTGAAAATGAAACACACAGCACATTGAGAAGGGAGAGTTAGTTACACAGCCGGAGGGTGTGGGGGGGGGGGGGGGNACACGGGGGGGGGGAAACGAACGACGGAATTTGCGTGCCCCTCCCCCACCTCCTTGGATCGGAGGCAAGATCCAGTTTGATCGGGCAACGTAAAGCACACCTGCACATGCTACTGCATGCATGCGATCATCCAAAATCTTGTCGGATAACGTATGTATGTGCGAACACGCCGTGATTCCTACCGGCCCGTGCGGTGTTACCTGCCCCATCCCGTCACGGATACGAACCCGACCTTGAAAATCGTCCCCCATGTTTTCATGTATTTTCGACCCACAAGAGTGTGCACTCTATTGTACGTTTCAACCTTCCACTCAAACGCGAATAACGGAACGACGCAAAAGACGGAAGCCAGCTTCGAAACAATGTCAAGCGAGGTAGATGTACTTACACACAGACTTGAAGCTGTTTTTTGGCGGGGGTTTTTTCCAGTTTTTTTTTTTCGCAAGTAGAATGATTCCGCGGAGAGTTTGTGTTTTACGGAAACACAAGGAAGCTATCTCCATCCACATGTACACAGTCTACCGAGCGGAGAGCGGAGCATTGTAAACCCGCGCAGGCAAATTAATTTTTTTGAACCCCTAATTTACTTATGATTTGTATCGAAGTATTATTTGTATTGAAGTACTTATTATTTTTCCGGGTTGTTCCTCTTTTTTTCATTTGATTGTTTTGGTAAGAGAGATGCGACCAACCGAAACCTTGGACACAGATTTTTCACCGGCGGCGGGTGTGGGCTGGCTGGTACAGGCGGGGAAATCCGTGAAACCCGTTTCGTTCTGTAGCTTGCGGGGTGCAGAAATAAATGTACATAACAGGATGCCTTGTTGTCGAAGAAGAGCGGGTGCGATTTGTCGTCCACGACATCATGCAGTACAGCGAGCAGGCACGGCACGCGCGGAGCACCGCACAGCACACGGCACGCCTTTCATTCGTTGACTCTCTGTCCGAGGCGTGCTTTTGCTTTGTTTGACGCTGAGCCCCACCAGGCGGGGGCCTGTGGAGTGAAATTCCTCAACTGCAGGAAGCGCGCCCGCACTTCACTACATGTAAGAATTTTGGCAACTACTATGCGCAAGAAAAATTGAGCCTCTCAAAACAACTCCGAATCTAAGAATTTGAGCACCATTTGTGAGCTCAGTTTTAAGAAACCCAACACTAAACCTATACAGCCGCCATTCGTAGCACAAAAGAACTACCAGGTACAGTATCAGTATAACAGCTCTCGCGGGTACATACCACCTTTTCGCGAATCGAGCTGCAGGACCAAAGCCGTGGTATGCATACGTAAATAGCACAGGTACGGTGCGGTACATCTCCAGTCCTTACACCGTCCGTGTGTACCGCCACACAGCAATCGGTGGTACGACAGAAGCGTATCATGTATTATATGCTAAATTGGATAAAAGTTCGCGCGAGGGTTCGACAAGTTTCGAAGCCGTGGTCTGTGGAGGCCTTGCCTCGAAACACTGCGCAGACGAACCGCATCGAATATCATCCCGGGGAACGCATGCGGCAGCACGTCTCCTCACAATAATTTTTTTCATCTCCCATCATTGGACTCTGTCGTCTGCCCCTCTGGCTCCCATCCTCCACTTATACTAGCTAGACGACCCAACAGGGGTTACACAGGAGGGGGGGGTTGGACCACCTCCTGCGGTTCCTGCCTGAGATATTTTTATCGCGAAAAGGGTACAGCAATCCCTTCCCTCGATAAAAATATAATAATATTATTAGTACAGTGTATGAATACGGCGCCCGAACTAGCTGTATTTTTTTTACGGACACGTCGGGAGTAGGGACAGGAAAAGCAAAAATGCAAGCAAGGAAAACGTGTTCGAAAGCGTCTCAAATACAATAAAACACTCCCGCCTGCTGCTGCTGCTGCTGCTGCCGCGGCGGCGGCTGTGATTCTCGCAGCAGCTGTCTGAAAAGGTCCTTGCGACGCCATTGCGTAATGCCGCTTCCAATGTCAAGAAACGAGATTTCCCGGTCCCGTGTGAAATAAGGCCGTCCAAAATTAACAGAGAAAAAACTATGTAAGCTTGCGTTGACTCCGGCCGTGAACCACGTTTCGGTGAACCTACAGATGGCGCCTGCACGTAAGAACCTCTAGTTTCGGCCGGGGCTGGGTTCCTTATTTTTTTTATCATCCTCTTGTGGGCTGCAAATGGCCGCAATAAAGGTTTTAGTGTAGGGGTTCTTAACCGGGCTCACAAATGGTGCTCCAGTTCTTCGATCCTGATTTTTTCGAGTTTCAATTTCTTAACTGCTAAGTTCTTCAGTGCGGCAGCTATCTGTAGCCGACGAAAGCGCACTTTTCGAATGCACCAAGAGCTTCACACAAGACAAGTAAACACAGCCGAAATGTACGTATGTGAACGAAATACTCTGGAAAAGGATAAGGAACAATCACAGCTTGTAGTAGGCAGCGTGGTCAGGGGTACGAAAGACTCCGATCCGGGCGGGATAACTTAGACGTAGACTGCCCTTTGTCGCACAAACGGAGCTCACAACAAACGGAAAGTCTCGATCCTACAAAAACCATGCGCGCTCCTACAGCAGTTGTGTCAATCTCCCTGCTGTGGATCCTCGGGGAGATCGGGGATGGGTGCAACAGCAGGAGGAGCATGCTACTGGTGTGCGTTGTTTATTAAAAAAAAAAAACGCCATCAATCCTCTTCGCCTTGAAACTTTGGTCCTCCCTCCACAGCGTTCGAAAATTACGATAAAAACGGCGCCCGCAGACACGAAGCAGCTATCATACAGCCCGCCAACCTTTTAACGTAAATAAAATAGTACTTTTAACCTGTCGACCCAAAATGCGCATGAACCTGCTCTTGATCTTCATGTGTGGCTGCTGCCGCCATTGCGAGCGCTTCAGACACCAGATGAGTTGGTGGTACATACGTATGCATACATACGCTGGTTGCCCGTGGGTTCTGTCTGCTGCTGTAGACACAACTGCCCACAAAAAAAAATCGCTCGTCGAGAGCCTACGTGGAGGAGTGCGGAAAGACGCAGGAAACGGGTTTTGTTATTGCTGGAGGCGGCGAGCACTACTTGTACGGAAGAGATGGGGGATTGCCATGTGCCATGCCGAGCCAAGAGCAACCACGGCAGCAGGCGCCGGGACCTACACGTGCCTATATATATTGTTGAAAAAAGAAGTGGCAGACGCTTGTTGCAGCAAAAGATGGTATCTTGGTACACACGCAACACAGCACTTCCTTCAACAGCAGCAGCGGGCGGGACCGGTGCAGATCGGAGTTGGGGCTTTTGACAGAATGTTCCGCGGCGTACAGCAGCAGAAGTGCTGCGCAGACCAACACTGCTTGCTAATGAGACACCTCATGTGCAACAACAGCGCCAGGTTTGCAAAAAAAAAATTGTGTTCGCTCGCGCACAAAAATCAATCGACCTCTGCTGTTGATGTGCTGCAGCCTTTGAAGCTAGCTGCTACATAACAAAATAGAGTCGTGCTAATTGTGAGGGGAGGCGAAGAGACAAGTCGCGACTCTGTCGGTGCATTTTTCGTTTTGAAGGTCGTCGGCAACAACCAAGAAATGATGCCACACATCCATGACCAACACAACAAGAGGGACGAACAAAATCACCGTCCCTGCCCCCTGCCCCACATCAGTCGAACACGCGGGAAAAACAAAAGCGCTAAACGCGTGGTACCAACGGCGCGAGCGTGTGTGGCGGAGCGAGCGGACCGAAGAGGGAAGGGACAACGACACGTGTGTGTGTGTTTTGGCGCAAAAGCGAGCAACCATCATCAGATGATCAAAACACCGCCTCGTTTGGAGAGACATGTGTATGCGTGCTGCAAGCACGAACACATTCAACGCGCCCCTTGTCGTCGCTCTCACACTCACCCCTTCCCCGATCTTTTCGAGCTTCTCGTAGGCATCCATTGGCGCGTGAGATGATGATGATGATGATGATACAGCTCCTCCTCGCCCCGCCGTCTTCAATCCTTCTGTCCCCTGCCCGGCCCACACAAACCCCAATCGCAGATCCGCTCCTCCCGCCGCGCAACTACGCTGCTCGCCGATGTGCTTGAGTGTGTGTGTGCCTTGTCTCGGAAGGTTTTTCAAAAAAAGAGAGTGCCCAGGGACCAAGTGACCCCAAGTGAACGCCAATCAGCCAGCGGCTGGCGGCGGTCCACACCCCCAAAAAATCTCGCACGACCACAACCCCGCGACTGATTGCTCAAAGGCCCCGAACAAATATATGCTGATGTCTTGCTGGAGTTGATTTCCCCTGCGTGCGGGAAATCCACATCCCATCGCCGCGCGCGCAGCAGGCAGACCGACCGCCTCAGGGGGGTTTCGCAGGGAAAAAATGCTGGTCCCCAGACCTGTCATGAATGTAACGCCCGAATTTGTCATGTTTTTCGTTTTTCCCCCGACGACACACGACGCCGCATCATGCACGCGCCCCCGCCGACCACGTCGCCAACCGACGTCTTTTGGGCGGACCCTAGATATTTATTATGCGTGTACGGCGGTAAGATGCCGCACTGCTGTCTGTGCTGACCACCGACCGGCAGGGGGCACGCCATCAGTCTTCAGTGTAGATCGCCACAACCACGTTCAAATAAATACTGGTTGGTGCTGCTGTTTCCCCAGGTTTTCGAATAGGGAAAGGATTGACCGATCGACAGTCGATCCGTCGACAGTTAGTTCGTCGTACATGTGGGTGGACCCATTCATGGAGCGAGCGAGTGCCATAAAAACTGCGGTATCCGACGATATGCAAGATGAAGGGATTATTGTTTTGCCCCAAGGGCAGCTACGAAGATCGGTTTGGGTACTTCTACATGCAGCACTTGACTCCGCCCTCGAAGAAATGAGTTCGTTCGTGGTGACGGGGGGGAATACCCGAAGAGAGACTTTTCAAACAGTACACTTTACTGAGAGGATATTGCATTGCTGTTCATAGTATGTACGCAGTAAACCGACCTACCGCCGCAACTTCATAAATGAGACACGAGACAACTATTTAGTTACTACGGTAACTCCTTTCTCATCATGTTCACGGTACAACTCCAGTACATGCATGCAGTCGGAGCGCCATGCAACATGAACACCCAACGGAGAGCGACGTCGTAGTCATCATTTGTACTGTATGTAGCATGCGTGTACACTCGACAGGGAGTTGCCAGGTGTAATAAAACAGACACAGCAACGCCCGTGGACCTTGTCGGCGACGCAGCAGCATTGTTGTCTTCATTCTGTTCTTCCTTCCATGCATAAAAAATAAACGTGTTGGAACCGAGCCCGTGACCCACGGCTACACACCGGCAACCTACCATATACAACATTCGTCTATGTAGTCGTTTGATGGAAAGCTCAGTGAGTCATCTTTCTTTGTGGTCAACATACTCATTTTTCTGTAGCCAACCACGCAACAGTACTATTTATACTACACCATGCTACAAGGGGCGTCCGACGAACGACGAAGCGACGGCAGCGCGACGAACGAAGGTGGCGGCCAAGTTGAACGGACAAGAGTGTCCAGAGGTGAGCCATCTCACCGGTTAAGCATATTTTCTGTAGCCTTCCACGAAGCAGTATTTCATGCGACAGCAGTTGCGGCCCGCGAATTATGAACATCAATTTGGGGGCGAGGGTAAATTTCGTATTACGTCACTCCGGTCGCCAAGCATAAAGGTCAATTTAGTCTATAGTTTTAGTGTAGGATCAACGGCTGAGGGTGTGTTTCTTAGCCGACTTTTCTTACTTCTCGCCAACGGCCCAGCCTCATTTACTTAACCTAGCCACGTTTTTTTTTCACTTGCGAGCGGCAGCTAGCTGTATCCCACGAGGGGCGCCCGAAGGCGACGAACGACGGAGCGATGGCGATGGAGGCGCGGCCAAGGAGGCCAAAGGCCGACCGAGCGACCAGACCGGCGGCCCCGATGAACCCAACCCCATCTCGAAGGCACGTGAAGACCAGGAAAGACTTTAGTCTATGTAGATAGGTGTTAGAAAGGCTTACCCATTTGACTTCTTAGTCAGCTGACTAAGGGTCAAATGGGTAAGCCTCCCATAAGTAGGTATGAAAATAAATAGTTTCTACCGCTTACGTGGGTATTTGCCGGGGAACAAAATGTAGGGCTGCGATGTAAAAACGTTCTTGATGGCAGAGGACTGCATGATATTTGAGGACGATAACCTGATCTGTGCAGCTGACTAAGTAGTCAAATGGGTAAGCCTCCCGAAAGTAGGTAGTATGCAAATATTAGTTTCTAACGCTTACGTGGGTATTTGCCGGGGGACACAATGTAGGGCTGCGACGTGAAAACGTTCTTGATGGCAGAGGACTGCATGATATTTGAGGACAATAACCTGGTCTGTGCAGTACCTGGATGGCTTACCACAGCAGCAGCAGCAGCAGCAGCAGCAGTGGTATCGTCGGGTTGCGTCACCGCAATTACCTCCTCCCCGAGGATGGAATTCTCGTTGAAATCAAGCTGGGCGCAGGGGAGAAGAAGGGATTCTACCCTCGAGCATTCTGGTGCACACTGATGACACGACATGATTGAGCAGGCCCTCCCACGAACCGCGTCTTGGTCAGAATGGACGTACGTGCTGTGACGATCGTATTGTATTGAGTATAGCTTACGTAGCGGCAGTCGACCTCTCTCTCTCTCTCTCTCTCTCTCTCTCT